ATGTTATATCAATTCTGTTTTCAATTCGTGTATTTATTTATTTTATGTTTTATTTGATACACTTTTTTCAAAATGGCCACTGTTTGTTAAAGAGTCAATGCACTCTATCCCTTATTATATAATAATAATATTAATAATATAAATTATTAATTATTATTATAATGTACTGTTTATATGTTATATCAATTCTGTCTTTATTTTATGTATTTATTTACTTTTTGTTTTATTTGATACAATTTTACCAAAATGGTCCTCTGTCCGTTGAACAGGTCAAATCACTTGTCTTTCGTAGTTTTTCCTTTCGTTGCACTATTGTTTTAATAAAATAAAAATGAATATTCGAAACGATACGAAGAAACTTATGATAATAATCAATAAATGCATTTTGAAATATTCTACCCAGTTAAGATAGGATATCTTCTCAAGTATCATAACTTAGTGTCGCCTTATTTATCGGAAGTATCTTCCGTAACGTGACAAGAATCGGTTATACTTTCTTATAATCTTTTTTTTTCCTTTTGATTTCGAATTCTTATTCTTGTTAATTTAAATAACATAGTGTTTAGATTCGATAAGAACAAAAATTTTCTATTAAACTGGACTGGTATTTCTATAGAAATATAATTATCGTTTTCTAAATGATTTCTTAATGTGTGGAAATCATATGTGGAAGAAGATAACAATATTCTTTCGGCAAATGTCGTAGATTATAGCAAATAACGTGGCTGGTGACTTTACAAAATTATCGTTCTAATTATAATATCAATCATCGATATGAGAGAGTGGATTGCTATAAGAAAAAAAAAATATAATTAAGAAAAAAAATTACAATAATAATAAGAAGAAACAATGTTTTTCTTAAGTACATTGAGCTTACTATAGAAAGTTGATCCAATGTACTAACCTTCAGTCGAATACATTTATTCAGTCGTGGTTAGATCGTTCGAAGATCGTTAAGGATTAAATCGAACAAATTGTTTCTTTAAAATAAAATTAATATCATTCATTGTTGGAGGGATAAATGACGAGATAAAACTGCTCACGTTAGATATCATTTTGTTTTATTTTTTTTTTTTAAATGAACGTGGAAATGGCTTTTATGGGAGTAAACGTTCGATATATACGTGCTCGAGTAATGAATAATTAAATCGATTATGTTTAAATGTTTAGTGTCTTCGAAGAAGCATAGATTCGATGTGTAATTTTGATTCGAGTATTTTAACAATTTATATTTACATTTTCTTTC